AAAAAAAAAATTACAAATAAACAAATATTCTACCAACGTGCCATTACAGCTCCGATACAAATCAATCCAAATTGACGATCCTTTCAATTATCTGACACTGCCATAAACTTTCAATCAAACAATTAGAAATACAAGAAGAAGCCCAATTCGACCTCGCTCCAAACCCTAGATTTAAAATTGGGGGAAAACCCCGTTCTCTTCACGAGAAAATCATACGCTAACATCGCTTGAACGAAGAGAAACAACGAGATCACAATGAAATATGATCAGATTGCGATTAAGAGAGAAATCCAAACAAACAAACGTAGATCTACGACGAGAAGAGAGAGAGAGAGAGAGAGAGAGAGGGAAGTACCATGATTTTGTGAAGAATGATTCCCCCACAGCTGAAGAGGGATCAGCGAATGATAATAAAGATTTGTTAATATAAAAGAAAGGTGAGGAGAATTTTATTGCTGTAAGGAGAAATCAGGCGAATGATTTGATTCGGTCCTGACGAAATCTTATGGGGAAAAAAAAATTCTTCCAAACGGAGGAAAAGTACAATCTTGGCCGACCTGGTATCGTACTGTACTTATTAGAGGCGGTTTTCCATTTCTTGCTCTTGGGTGCAAGTTGGTGGGCCTTCGCTTTCACCCTTTTAAGTTTCAGAGTGGTGTTAGGGGCACACCCGAAACCACACCTCTAACCACACCTTCCCCTCTCATTTGCTACGGTACTCCGAGCCCACATGAGTTTTTAAATTTTAAAAACTCATGTGGGCTCGGAGTACTGTAGCGAATGAGAGGGGGAGGTGTGGTTGGAGGTGTGACTTGGGGTGTGCCCCTAACATTGGACAAATTTTTAAAACCGACACATTTCATGATTTAATTGCAAAAAACGACCTGTTTCTATTTTATTTATAAAAACCGACCCAGTTGGTTGAAACTGGGTCGGTTTTTGAAATTTTTTTCCCAAACTTCACGGGAGTTCAACTCTCGTGAAGTTTTGTTATGAGAAAAAACTTCACGGGAGTTCAACTCCCGTGAAGTTTCGTAAAGTTTTTTTAAAAAACCGACATGGTTTCAGCGACAGTGCTGAAACCAGGCCGGTTTCTCTAAATAAAACAAAAACGGGTCGTTTTTGGCAATTAAATCATGAAAATGGTTGGTTTTGAAAATTTGTCCCCCTAACATTTCTATAAGTTTTAACGGGTCCACCAAATTTTGCTTCCTTTTCATTAAAAATCATACGTAATTCTGATATCAATTTATGAAAAAAAAAGTTTATTATGACTTTTAGCGTAAAGATAATTGTTTTTTCATGACAGCCACATATTAAGTGCGTCAAATTGATAGGAACTTCCTTCAATGTTTTTTTTAAATACAAAAATTATCTTATATTGAGACGATTTCTGTTCAATTTTTATATGAACTATCCGTAATATTCCCACGCTCATCTCTTTTAAAAACTAGGTGAGTTTAGCCCATCTTCATAGTTTTAACAACTATGAAGATGGTTCCTATCTATTCGATCTATTTTAAAAGCAGTTTTCATTTAAAAATTTCCTTAAAAAAATTGAAATTTCGCAAGCCAATTCCTACAAACCCTTGTTTGTGTATAAGGTCTGCATGTGAATCAAAACCTCCAAACTAATTTTGGATCGATTTGAAGGTGCAGTGATATTTTTAATCCATTTAGATTTGAATTTTTATTTTCCAAGTAATTTTTTTCCACAAACATTTCACTGGATAAAAAAGAACCTGACTAGGCACCTTCTCCAAATAATTTTCTAGGTAAGTAAATTAAAGTGTACGTTATTGGATCAGCTTTTAGATGTCCACCTTTATAAAATGATTATAAGCTAGGACCCCTCTCGTACAAATTTTTTACAAAATTATTGGACAATGAATGAGATTAGTTCAAACTTCCTAGAGATATTGAAATCAAACCTGGGAGCATATATCAGTGCAAATTACATAATACTGGTTTGACATAATCTAAAGAAAGACCCATCATATATATATATATATATACATATATATATAGAGCAAGACTCCTATCAACTTAAGTTGATGTCCACCAAAGTTTGTAGCCACACATTTATTAATATAAAACACCTTTTTATATAATACATGGATCCCTAGGTAATATGAGTGGTTAAAAACTTTGGTGGACATACTATTCCCTATCCACTTAAGTTGACACAAGTTTTCACCTATATTAATCCATTTAGATTTGAATTTTTATTTTCCAAGTAATTTTTTTCCACAAACATTTCACTGGATAAAAAAGAACCTGACTAGGCACCTTCTCCAAATAATTTTCTAGGTAAGTAAATTAAAGTGTACGTTATTGGATCAGCTTTTAGATGTCCACCTTTATAAAATGATTATAAGCTAGGACCCCTCTCGTACAAATTTTTTACAAAATTATTGGACAATGAATGAGATTAGTTCAAACTTCCTAGAGATATTGAAATCAAACCTGGGAGCATATATCAGTGCAAATTACATAATACTGGTTTGACATAATCTAAAGAAAGACCCATCATATATATATATATATATATACAGCAAAAATTGCACATCCATTTTTATGGAACGTGCGGTCGCAATGATCTACACGGCCAGCATATACTAACATTAGAAGGATTTATCCTACGACGAACAACAGAATGTAGGTGGCCAGTATGAAAGCACAGCACATTACTGCGAGCATTATTACCAACCAAATAAAGGCAAGAAACTGCACCAAATATTTGGAATCCAGTGACTACACAAGTATCAAAACATTTTTATCACATCACAACCACAAGACTCAGGATACGAAGAAACTGCACCAAATATTTGGAAACCGGTGATTACCCAAGTATCAAAACATTTTAATCATACCACAACCACAAGGCTCAGGATAACAGGTATCTCATCAAAACTAACTGAATGATAAAGATTTGAGCAGAAAAATCCCAAGTCTCAAGTATCAAGTACACTATAGTGAAAATCAAATCCGACCATAAACAAGCCGCGGAACGAGGGAACTACAGAAATGCGATAGATAAAAACTGCTCTAAACCAAGCTGCCTCCTCCAAAATTTAGACTGATAAGACACACACAGCGTCATTACACGATAGCATTCGCTGCGCTCGCAATCCTCGGCCACAGATCAGCACATTCCTTTCCAATAGGCCCAGTGATGGCAGAACCTGAAAACCAAATATATAGTACAAAGTAAATTCTATTGGGACTAATGTGTATGGCACTTCTATCTGAAACCAAATATATAGTACCAAGATTGATTAGTTTCTCCAGTAATATACTTATACTGTGATGCTTACCTTTCATTTCTCCCTTTGGATTCACAATGACTCCAGCATTATCTGCAGATTGGTAACATATGTGGAACATGTTAAGAGACTACAAGCTGCAGTTTAGGCTTCTCAATTAGCCAGGACGATCATACTAAAACTCAGCTAAATAGACTAATAACATTCTTGTGGTGCAAGGTAGATAATAATAAACAATAGCATAATCAAATGTGATTAGCATGGAAAAAGATACCATACTGCCTTCTTACTTCAGCGTGAAAAGCATATAAGAGGACACAAAATGAGCTTTTCATTTTCCCACGATCGAGATTAAACTAAAAACCCTAAGAAACAATATTCTAAGGATAGTTGCGTACATTCATAATTTTTCCTCGAGAGCATTTAAAGGAAAACAGATGTCAAGGATGCAGTTTTGCTGATAGGGAAAAGTGATTTTTTTTTGGGGGGTAAATGACCGAACTACTATTTTAGGTATTTACCAGGAGACAGGTAACATGATGCAACAGAAGAAACATCATGCTGTTTAATTCTGGCTAAATAAATATATGCTTCTTACGACAAATAGTCAAAGCTGACCACTTAAATAAGTGAAGAAGCACCCAGAAGGGGGAAACAGAGCAAGTGATACATATGGTGGCATTTATCATCAAATGCTATTAGTTATACTCTGCTCTAGGAAATAAGATATAATAACTCTGAACTCCTTTTCCCATATAAACATGTAATACTGTTAAAAAATATCAAATTTCAAGTCAGCAATAGGCTAGTTTAACCCCCAAAACAATTCCATCGAGCTTGATGAACATAGGTTGAATAACCACTTAAATGGAAAAATCTTAAGTAACCCTTATACGAGTCAGTTTTTAAACTGTCAGGTACTGAGTTATCCAAGATGGCACCAATTCTTAGCTGTATGATAGTCTGATAGGTAACCCTTATATTTCAATATAGGAAAAACCTTAAATAACTCAACCAAATTTTCAGAGAATATACCTTACTTAATACCATAAGTACAAGAAACAGGAAGAAAATAATAAAGGTTAACAAAAGAGGAAACTAACATCTCACTTGTATAATAAAGAAGGATGTATAGAACAATGATACCCAAAAAAATCATTGACACACCATCATAATATATGCTAAACTTGTTTACAGAAAAACCTACAAATATCATAGCAACTTTCCAAGAAGTAATTTCAGATTGGATAGATATGGCAATACCTTCGAAGTACATGTAAACACCATCCTTTCGGCGAAATGGCTTACGCTGCCTCACGATGACAGCAGGCATGACCTTCTTCCTGAGATCAGGCTTCCCCTTCTTGACAGTGGCCATCACCATATCACCAACACATGCAGAGGGCAGACGGTTGAGACGACCTTTGATGCCCTTGACTGAGATGATGTAGAGGTTCTTCGCCCCCGTGTTGTCAGCACAGTTCACTGTCGCCGCCACCGGTAAACCGAGTGACATACGGAACTTGTTCCCCGCAGAACCACCACGTCCTTAAAAAATGGTCCAAATTAATATAATTTATGCATCTTGATAAAACATTCAGATTCCATCCAGGATGCATGCATTCAAATATCAGCTATGCACAAAAAGGAAGACATGTAGAAATATACGAAAGGAGTGTTTTGTTATCTATTAGAAGCTAGGAAGATGTGCATGAGATTCCAGGGATAAACTAATCATATTCCAACCCTTGTATTACAAGTAAGAGGAACAAATGTATCACATCAAGAAGAAGAAAATATGGCAATGACAAACTAAAACTAGATTAATATCATATATTTCTACATGTCCTCCTAAACTGTTTAAGGGGCTCTTTCTTACGGGTAAATAGGAGCAATAAGAACTAATAAAAAATCAATTTGAAGTGAGAAAGTAAAATGAAAAAGAAGAGGACAAAACAGAGAGTTGATGGACCTGACAAAAAACAGGAGTGGGGGCAAAAACATGATGTTAAAGTAACTCCTCAACAAGGTTCTCACATGTTGGGACAACCCGAGATCCAATAAAATTGCATTTAAAATTGTATTTATCCCTAACAGAGAAATTCAGAAGTTCGCCTACAAGAACATTGTCAAAAATAGAAAAAATGGACAAAAACGTTGATATCTCTCAAACCGGAGGGAATTTGGCGAAACGCACCGCGGCAAACCGAACTTCGATCGGTTTGGTCGGCCCCATCTCATCAAGATAATCGATTTTCATATATAATTCGTCTAATTCCGACTTACGGTTTGAAAGTTATGACCCATTCTTCGCAGCAAGTTATGTTCCTTGACGCCTAAACTTTGCCTGCAATACTAGGGTTTGCCTAAACCAAGCCAAGTCTACTTGTTCGCCTGAACATTCAAGGCAAGTCCGCCTGATAGTGTGACTTCGCTTGAATCAAATAAGAAAAGCCAAGTTCGCCTGAATAACTTGACTTCGCCAGCAGAGCTAAGTTCGCCTGACAACTTAGCTCGCTTAAACATTGAGCTTCGCCTAAACGAAGTTAAGCTCGCCTGAACGCTTAACTTACGAAGCTCGTTTGCATAAGCCAAGCTCGCTTGAACGCTTGAAGCTCGCCTAAATTGATTTAAGCTCGCTTGACAGCTTCGCCTACGAGGTTCGCATGCATACTCTAACCTCGCCTGCAGGAGGTTTGCCCGCACAATCCAAGCTCGCCAACAGGGTTTAAGCTCGCCTGAACGCTTAAGGGGTTCGCCTGTCAACCTCACCTGTTCGCCTAGTTCACCTGTAAGCTCGTCAAGCTCGCCAACTTCGCCTGCAAACTTTACCTACGAGCTCGCCTGAGCAGTTAAAAACCACTTACTTGAATTGTGGAGGTCGTTACGCCCACTTCCCACGATCTAAGGGGTTGGTTACAACCATCCTTCTCGATAAATAGCCATATTCGGCTACAGAGAAGGGGATCTTGGCTTTTTGAGATCATGGGAACTTTTGAACTATTGGCAATCGGACTTCTTGGAGATAGAAGAACCGAAGCTTGCATTTTCTTTGCATTCGGCCTTAATTCTAAAGTTCGGGTGTTCGAACTCCTTTAATCAAGCTTCTACCACGTGCTGAAGTTTGTTCGCAATCTCGTTCAAATCGTCAAAGGGAAACAAACTCGACACGAGCATAGAGGGAGGCATCCTATCGCTACCAAGAACTCACGTTAAACAATGAGCGATCGAATCAATTCTCTTCGCTTTTGTGTAAAAGTGATTTTTGATTTGTAATCAAATTTCAATTAATACAAATCTTTGAGATCAATTTTATGACCTACAGTAGAGTGAAAGTAATAAAAAAACTCACAGATTTACGTGAAAAACTCTCTAAATGAATTTGGGGTAAAAACCACGAGCAAAGATAGAAAAAACCCACTATGAGCAAAAATTTTAGAGTTACAATCTCTCTTTACAACGAGAAACTCTCTATTTTTCTCTTTCTTCTATATGTAGAGTTGTTTCTAGAATGGATTTTTCCTGAAGAGTTTTGAGCATGTTTATAGCGGTTGAGAAAACACTATTCCTAATTTTATAATATTTTTTCTTATATTGTGCTAGCCTTTTGGTGGCCGCTTTCCACTTTCGGTGCATTTATTTTTGTGGGGCCCATCACCTTTTTGTTTGTCCATAATTGTTGTTAGCAATTGCAGCTGACAATTTAATATCTCCATGAAGAAATGTTATTTTTACATCATACTGCTCTAGATGTAAGTCAAATATAGCTCATAGCTAGGACTATTCGGATTGTTGTAAGTCAAACTACAATATAAAATATTTCATTAAAATCAATACATTCTTTCTGAGCATATCCTTTTATTATCAAATAAGATTCTAGGGATGTAAATTTACCGAGACAGAATTAATAGAAAGATTTGACTTTTTCAGAAGAATTATTTGAAGAAAATCTTGCAGCGCTTTAACATGCAAGATTGTAATTCAATTTCTACCCCACTTCCTGTTAATTTTAAGTTATCCTCCACTATGAGTCCTAGCAGTGAAGAAGAGATGATGGAGATGTCTCGAGTATCGTATGCATCAGTAAGGGAAAGTTTAATGCTCACTATGATTTGTACAAGACCAGACATTGCACAAGTAGTGGAAGTGGTTAGTCGATACATAATGAATCCTGGTAAAAAGCATTAAAATACTGTAAAAAGGGTCCTAAGATACATTAAGGGAACCTCAAATGTTGCATTATGTTATGGGGGATCAGATTTTATTATCAATGTATATGTTGATTCTGATTATGCAAATGATTGTGATAATAGCAAATCCACCACAGACTATGTGTTTGTACTTGCTGATGAAACTGTAAGCTAGATTTTAAAACTGCAGCCAGTTGTGACTATTTTAATAACAGAAACTGAATATGTAGCAGCTACACAAACTAATAAAGAGGCGATATGGTTGAAGATAGTGCTGGAGAAACTCGGGCATGAACAAAAAAATATCTCTATTATGTGACGGTCATAGTGCTTTGCATTTAGCAAGAAATCCAGCTTTTCATTCAAAGACAAAACACATTCGAGTTCAGTACCACTGCGTTCGTGAGAAAGTAGAAGAATGAACAGTAAATATACAGAAAATTCACACGAAAGACAACTTAACAAACTTTTTGACAAAAGCAATCAATACTAATAAATTTATTTGGTGTCGATTCTCTTGTGATCTGTCGGAGATGTGAGCAACATGAAGATGACAAGATAGAAAGAATGACATGAAGATATGATTGATACTCAATCAAATATTTAAGTGGGAGAATGTCAGCCGTAATTACTGACAACAGCAATTGTGGACAAATAAAAAAGTGACGGACCCCATAAAAATAAACGTACCAAAAGTGAAAAGCTTGCACCGAAAGGTTAGCACAGTAAAAGAAAAAATATTATAAAATTAGAAATAATATTTTCCTAATCGCTATAAATAGGCCCAAAACTCTTCAGAAAAAATTCATCCCAAAAACAACTTCACATATAGAAGAGTGAGAAAAATAGAGTTTCTCCTTGTAAAGAGAGATTGTAACTCCAATGTTTTTTCTCATAGTAATTCTTCTATCATTGCCCGTGGTTTTTACCCCAAATTCATTTAGGAGGTTTTTCACGTAAATTTGTGTGTTCTTTTTATTACTTTCACTAAACTATTCGCTAAGACCCTGCTCTATTAGGCCTCAGGTTTGTCCCAACATCACCAACAAGATCAACTGAACTAGTTGTTTATAAGTGCACAGATCTTGGGAAAACATTTGAACTTAGCATAGGGAATCATAACTATACAAGAGCATCTTAAAATAAGCCATCAAATGCAATTTGGCGGAACTGAAATAAGATGTTACCACTCATTCAGCAAAGTTCTCACTCTGACAATCTAAATTCTAAGCTAACCTAACTGATTGGAAATAAACCGCACAAATACACTAAACTGGGAAGTTTCTTGAACTAGGCAAAGGATATAACACCATATAATCAGATCAAAATATAAGCTGCAAAACGCAATGAGCATTCTCTTTGAACTTCAATGACGCAAGCAAATTATTATCGACAACAGCTAATTTAATTTGAGATATCTCCATTCTCTTATCTTAGTATCTTTCATCATCTATGTTTAATTATTCTACTTTCATAAGCAACCACAATAACTGAATAATCACATAAAAAAGGAAGCAATAAATGCCCGGAAAGAACAAATGATCTGAAACGAAAATCCCTAAAACTGATTCCTTGAATGAAATTTTTGATTAAATATCTTTAAAGAAATAAGCTCAAAGGAAAGATCGCCAGTATAATACCCTAGATTCGTGAACGATAAACATTCAAAATTGATTGCACGGAATTTCAAATGTTGATCAGATCATAAACCCTAATTGCGTGATCACGAAAGAGGAAAATGAGGGAGGAATTACCTCGCTTCGACATTTTTGCCCTGGATCTGCAACAAGGTTTTCAGGGAGGCGGCCCTGCGAGGTTCTATATGGTTCTTTCCTAGGGTTTAGCTTCTGGAATTACCAAAATGGCCCTAAGTGTGTAAACTGTAAATGTGAAATTATGAATATTTAACTTCCGATTTCTGCAAAGGTTAATATTTAATGCTGTATTTAAAAAAAGAGTGGTGTTAGGGGCACACCCCCTACCACACCACCAACCACACTCTCCTCTCCCATCGCTACAGTAAACCGGACCCCACATGAGATTTTAAAAATTTTAAAATCTCATGTGGGGCCCGGTTTACTGTAGCGATGGGAGAGGGGGGTGTGGTTGGTGGTGTGTTAGGGGGTGTGCCCCTAACATTATTTTTAAAAAAACGAATGTGTGTTTTTTGGAAGCATGAAAGCACGTGGAATTTTTACTTTTGCCAATATTGTTATGGTTTTTGCTGATAAAATGGAAGGTGTGAACCAAAAGGTGAGAATTTTAACATATTTTATAGTTATGTTGTATAATGCGAAGATGTGTTAGAGCATAAAATTATAAAGTCCGTTCCTTGCTTTAACTTCGGAAGTTTTTTTTATGCCTG